CAAAGTAATGGTATTAGAGGTGACTGTTTAAGCAGTGTCCGTATGAATTGTGATGGTATTAGAGGTGACTGTTTGAGTAGTGTCTGTATGAATAGTGATGGTATTAAAGGTGACTGTTTGAGTAGTGTCTGTATGAATTGTGATGGTATTAGAGGTGACTGTTTGAGAAGTGTCTGTATGAATAGTGATGGTATTAGAGGTGACTGTTTGAGTAGTGTCTGTATGAATAGTGATGGTATTAGAGGTGACTGTTTGAGCAGTGTCTGTATGAATAGTGATGGTATTAGAGGTGACTGTTTGATCAGTGTCTGTATGAATAGTGATGGTATTAGAGGTGACTGTTTGGTCAGTGTCTGTATTAATAGTGATGGTATTAGAGGTGACTGTTTGATCAGTGTCTGTATGAATAGTGATGGTATTAGAGGTGACTGTTTGAGCAGTGACTGTATGAATTGTGACTGTTTGAGCAGTGTCTGTATGAATAGTGATGGTATTAGAGGTGACTGTTTGATCAGTGTTTGTATGAATAGTGATGGTATTAGAGGTGACTGTTTGATCAGTGTCTGTATTAATAGTGATGGTATTAGAGGTGACTGTTTGATCAGTGTCTGTATGAAGTGATGGTATTAGAGGTGACTGTTTGAGCAGTGACTGTATGAATTGTGACTGTTTGAGCAGTGTCTGTATGAATTGTGATGGTATTAGAGGTGACTGTTTGTGCAGTGTCTGTATGAATAGTGATGGTATTAGAGGTGACTGTTTGAGCAGTGACTGTATGAATTGTGACTGTTTGAGCAGTGATGGTATTAGAGGTGACTGTTTGAGCAGTGACTGTATGAATTGTGACTGTTTGGGCAGTGTCTGTATGAATAGTGATGGTATTAAAGGTGACTGTTTAAGCAGTGACTGTATGAATAGTGATGGTATTAGAGGTGACTGTTTAAGCAGTGTTTGTATGAATTGTGATGGTATTAGAGGTGACTGTTTGGGCAGTGTCTGTATGAATAGTGATGGTATTAGAGGTGACTGTTTAAGCAGTGTCTGTATGAATAGTGATGGTATTAGAGATGACTGTTTGGGCAGTGTCTGTATGAATAGTGATGGTATTAGAGGTGACTGTTTAAGCAGTGACTGTATGAATAGTGGTGATATTAGAGGTGACTGTTTGGGCGGTGACTGTATGAATAGTGATGGTATAAGAGGTGACTGTTTAAGCAGTGTCTGTATGAATAGTGGTGATATTAGAGGTGACTGTTTGGGCGGTGACTGTATGAATTGTGATGGTATTAGAGGTGACTGTTTGGGCAGTGTCTGTATGAATAGTGATGGTATTAAAGGTGACTGTTTGAGCAGTGACTGTATGAATTTTGATGGTATTAAAGGTGACTGTTTGGGCAGTGTCTGTATGAATAGTGATGGTATTAGAGGTGACTGTTTGAGCGGTATCTGTATGAATAGTGATGGTATTAGAGGTGACTGTTTGAGCAGTGTCTGTATGAATAGTGGTTGAATATTTAGGCCATTAAAATTTACAGTTTGAAGTTGGTCCAGCCAATAACTCTCGCATTGTATTCTTCTTTACTTAGGCTTGATATTAGGCATAGATTGTAACCTTTTCAATTGGCATAATCAACAAGTCTTCAATGGAATGGTCGGGTTGATTAAAGTGAAATTTTGCCATGTACGATATCGTAACGATGGTCGTTAAAACGAGTTAGCAGCGCGGTCTTTCTTTCTCCAATATACTGTCTCGCATTTTTAGATAAAATAAGGTAAATAAGATTTTTGGTCTCCGCATGAAATTTTGTCAGTCATGAATTTTTTTTTTATGTTTTATTGTTTATAAAGAAATGAGAAATAAGTAGGCGTATGTTCGCATGTATCAGTCTTATTAAAAGTCATTTTAATATCCATTTCGGAAGTTTTTTCGAAATAGTTGTCAAATAGGGCGCAGACTGATTTAATAGGGAGACTACTGTCAGTTATTTGATTGAATATACTTAATAGTTGTTATCTCCCTTGAAAGCGATTGACAGAAAAATCGAACGGAAAATCCTAGACTGTACCCTTTTCGTAGATAGCAGACAGTAAGCTCAGTCCCGAACAGAATATGCAGGACCCTAACTACAAGGCATATGAAACACAATGGGACACAAAGGACATTTTGTTTTATTATACATATATGATATCCGCTAAATACATATCATATAAGATTTGAACGACATATAGAAGCGAGGAGCACATATAACAAAACACAAGACAATAATATACAACTCTATATTGTTTCTTGCTGGTATATATTTTGTTATGTTTTATTCTCTTGCCATTACATCTGATGAAGACACGTGTCTATTGTGTTGAATATTATGTGCCCAACCTTATTAAAGAAGTGTTTTTTTTAAATATATATCATATTTGAATTCTTCAATAAAGGTATTACCACTTGAAGGGAAAGAAATATAGCCTATATATTCATTTAAAGAGCTATTACGTTTTTTTGAGGGTCGATTTGTTTTGGTCATCATCCATCCAACCCTATTGATTATCAATAAAATTGAAAAACAAATTGAACTGAGTTATTGCCCTTGTCTTTGAAACGGGTTCGATTTTTAGCTCGTTGATCAAGTTCTTGATAGATTTTGACGAAGCTTGTTGAAATTGTTTTTTGTTACTTAAGAATGAACTGAATCACAAATAAAACAATCGAAAAATATTTAATTTGATTTGGGGGAAGGGAGGGTTTGATTCTCCCAAATGTACAGGCCTAGGGTGGAGCAGACACTTTATTTAGAAATTAGGATTAAGGGTCTTGATATTGGGTTTTCTTCTGTTCTTATTCTGATCTGAAATTAGAAAAAATAACTCGCCCGATGGGCGAGAAGTATAGTATCTGTTATGTACTGATTGTTTTTAGTTTACTATGAACAATATTATCATTTAAGTTCTTATGTTTTGAATATGCAACTATCATTTTCTGCTTATAGACATGGGGGAATTTCTCTTGAAGGCTCTTATAGTGGGCATGAACTATCTTGCTTGCTCGATTGCTGGTTGTATTAAACGGGACAACAAAGGGTGCTATGCCTACATTATGATGAATATTTAGTCCTATAGGTCTTGCTGTATTCAATGTCTCAATTCAATGGGCCTCCCTAGATTGACGGAATTTGGTAGTTTCATCTTCGGGCAAGTCAATTTCTATACGCTCAATTGGGATTAGGATGAGATCGTCTATTGAATGGTCGTCGAGGTTGAAATGATTAGAAACAGGCTTGTCTTTCTTTAATTTGATGCCTGACCTATGAGCATTAAAGCGAGTTCGTAAATTATTCTTAGTTTCTCCTACATATTGTTTGGGGCATTTCTTGCATGAAATTAAATATATTACATTCGAATGTTCACATGTTAGATGTTCTTGGATCGGGTACCTTTTATTCGTAGAGTTGCTTACAAAATAATGAGTTTCTGATATAAAGGGACATGTTTTGCATCTACTGGACAAGCATGGAGCACTTCTTAAACCTGGAGGTACTTCGGCATAAAGTCTGTTTTTAGCTGCTATCTGTGCTAAGGTGGAATTTTTTATGTTTCGTAAAAATCGTTTAGAGTACCCACGCTCTTTCAGTTTTGAGAAAACAATCGCACAGGCTTGGTTGAAATCAGAAGATCTTGTACAAATTCGATGAAATCGTAAAACTTGTGACTTAATTATACCAGAAAAGGTATGTTTTGGGTGAAAGGAGCTCTTGTGCAAGAGTTGATGAGTATCAGTTTCTTTGAAATACACTTTAATATCCAGTTTATTTGTTTCTGCTATGGAATCTCCCTTAAAGACTGTGGTATCGAGAAAGTCTATGCTTTTGTCACTCACGTTTGCGGTTAGTTTGATAGAAGGATGGTGGTTGTTGAGAATTTCAAAGAATTCCCAAAACTGTTCGATAGAATAAGTCCAAACCATAAAAATGTCATCCAAAAAGCGTCCGTAAAAAAGTGGGTCAAATGGACAGAGGGGCAACACCTCACGTTCCCACTCTGCCATGAAAAGGTTTGCGTACGAAGGGGCGAATCGTTTGCCCATTGCTGTCCCTGAAGTTTGTAAATATGTTTTACCATTAAATGTGAAATCGTTTCGACTAAGACAAATCTCTGTAGAATTGCATCGTCGGGTCTGTTTGGATCTGGGTTTCTATTAAAAGCTTTACGAACTGCCGTTAAACCAGTAGTGTTATCGATATTGGTATACATAGAAGAAACGTCGATAGAAATTAAAATGGCATTAGAGGAAACTCGAAGATTTTTTATTTTATTGACAAAATCGGTTGTGTCTTTAAGGTAGGCGCGATGTTGGCATGCTAGAGGTAGTAAGAAATGATCAATGTATTCTGACACTGCATATGACTCACTACCACAGTCAGATATAATCGGCGGCCTTTAGGGATTTATTCGAGATAAACCACTC